CATAGTAGGAAATGATGAGAGGCTCTTTAGAACATTTAACATTAATTTCATGTGAGAACACAAGATAAATTTGAGTAAATGAACAAGCCTGGCAGATCCGGCTGAGATTCTTCCAGCCCCTCACTTCCTGACAGATGCTGGGTTCATCCCACTGCGCTCCTGAGGAATGCCAAGAACTCTGAGCTACAATGAACTAAAACTAGTTCTGTGACAAACCACATGAATGAGAACATAACCAGAGGCAACATGAGCATGTAAACAAGGCTTCTCTCTGCTGTGCAGTGACCAAACATCAACACGTTTTTTTTTAAAACCCTAACATAAAACTGATGTTACTGAACAGCCTCTGCACAGAGCTGCTGCTAGTGACAGCCAGCAACATGAACCAGCTAAACACAAAACACAGAGAGACCATGAGTCTATAGATAGGTTCCTTATTATTTCTCTAAAAGAGTTTAATGGGTTTAACTAACAGTGTGAGTCATAAAACCCGTTGACTGTAGAGAAATCAGTGATGTCACCCATAGTTTATCCAGAGACTTTTTTGTGGCATTAGATAAGGTTTGAATCAGTGCCCTCTTTCTTAGTTTGGACTCCTAATTCGGACTGGCAACGTCATGGCCATGTATGAGCTGAGACACCTCGCAATCAAGGCAAACACGCAGGCAAGATTCAAAATCGTCTCTAAGACCGACCTACATAGGATGAAGTGAAATTACTTGATGTTTCTATGGCTGAATTTAAAAAGTCGTAGTTGGGGGTGGCAGTATCCCCTCCTGGTTCCTCCTGTCGGCATGTCTGCATAGCAGTAAGTGACCTTGAGAAAGACGGTGAACGCCAAACTGTTCCTGCTGAGCCTCACATGGCTATGTGTGTCCTGTTGAACAGGTGAGATCTTATGAAGACATATGGCAGTGGGTCCAGTTCTGACAACAACAAGTTTGTTTATTTTAAATATAAATCAAAAAAACAAATTAGCTTAGGTGACACTGATCCAGGAACAACCTGACAACAAACAGGGACTGTTTCTGTAACACTTCACACAAATGTCAATACAGTCACACCTTTGGGAGTCAATAGTCCATTTAAGTCTATATGACTGCAATTAACTTGCGTAAATCCATCTTTGTCATCATGATTATAACTATTCAAGTTACTCTTTATTTATCTTGTTCAGGATAATCCGTACTATGGCCAAACTGCACTGAAGCTTGCTTCAAAAATCTAATTCACAATTCAAGTTGAGATGTTTGAAAAAGTTTTCTAGAGCTGTAAATAGATGACTCAATCAGCGTCATTCATTTGAGAGACGCCTGAGACAAATTATCTGTGTTGTCGAGTAGATTTGTAAATTTAGTAGATTAAGTCAAATCTGACTAAATCTTACACACGCAGGCACAAGATGAAACGAATATGTGGTATTAGTTATTGTGCAATAAGCTGGGTAATGTAGAGAGCATCTTAGCACTGTGCTTGATTCAAGTTGGCTCCACACCACCCTAACAAAGTGGTGTTTAGTGGAGCCCCCGAAGCTGAGAGTGTAAATGTCGATCAAAGTATGCAATAATTCAGTACAGTTTATTTTCTTTCAGTGTAATCTCATTTTGATGATAAGATCACACCACAAATAAAGACAACAGCAATGAAAACTAACAAAATTAGTTGTGTTTTACATGCATGATAAGTTTCATCTGATGTTGCTATCAGAAAATATCCTTTATTGAATAGCTGAAATAAAAATCACTATATATAGTGATAAACGAGCACATTGCATCTCCCACATCAGCCAACTACACGGCACCCATTCTGCAAAAGGAGAACTATTCAAAACAAGTAAGAAGTGTACACTTGCACAATATCATCAAACGTTAATCCAGCTATACGATGAAGCAGCCAAGATCTAACTTTAACAGTCCAAACAGGGCTAAAACAAGCCAGCTGTGGTATCTGCACAACTGCTATGTAAGAAGGTGTGTGGACAGGCCGAGTGAAGATATATTGGCATGTGTTAACTCTGAATTTCTCCATTCAAAGAAAGTAGTTCTCCGTAAACTAAATGTTTATAAAACTAGCTCGGTCTTAGAGCAATGGTGTGTCTATGTAAATGCATGGAGAGTAACTGCTTACAGCCAAACAGCATTCTGTCAAACAGGTTGAGAACAAACACACACATACTGTATATACATACTCCACATGTTGTGGAGGATCTGTCCAGCTGAAGTCAAGAGCATTTCTTTGTGTGTACACATGTGAGTGTTTGTACCCACCAGTGGTCCCTACTCCCTACAAAGCTCTCTGAAAATAAAGCCCAAAAATGTGAAAACAGTGCAACCCATTCCCTCAGCTCTCTCTCTCTCTCTCTTTCTGCAACTCGCTTGGCAAAAACACATGCCTTATGTTCAGCTTGACTACATGTGGCAAGCTACATCCTCACAGCAGAGTAGTCTATGAAAACACAGGAAGTTTTTAAAGAAAAACAGTCAATACAACACTCACATTGACCATCATTTGTGGATTAAGAAAGGACAAACCTTGGCCTGTTACCAAAACCCCTGCCAGAGCCCTGTACCAGTTTGCAAGACATTTGGGACCGACTAAAGGCTTCTTTAGGCGGTGAAGTTAAGAGTTCGTCTCAATTCCTTCGCCATCACTGCTTGAATCGGTCCCAGCTGCTTTCTGGAAGATGCCAACTTCTTTTTTTCTTGTAAACCGAACTCGGGTCTCACGGTTTCCGCTTCACTAAAGCTATTTTCCTCACACGCACGCAAACACAAAACTTGGACCAAACTTAAAATAATGTTTGCTTAACCTACCTCTGTATGTGTGAAATGCTGTGCACGGCTAAATATCGTCCATCGACCGTCAATATACTGTGGTTGGTGTTGAGGACCTCTGTGCAGCCAATCCTGAAGTCTGCAGAGGACTGGCAGGCAGACAGGCAGGCCAGCTAAACTGGCCTCAACCAGAGCGTTACATACACTGGGTTGAGCAAAGTCTCTTTTGCAGAACACCATATGAGGAAATAATTGTTTAAGGGGAAGAGGAGATGCACGATCCTACTAACACCATAGGATAAATAAAAAGTCATCTAAATGGCATAAATTACTGAAAAACGTTTAACAGGAATGTCTCCAAGCTCTGGTAGGTGTAGCTAACTATATGTAATATTGTAACAAATGGCCAGGCTATGTATTATATTAATTTGGGTTTATTGTTTACAATAAATTATCTTAGCTAATATTCTGATTGGTCTTGCTAAACTCATAACCCTTAATTTTACTGAGCGAAAATAAAATGTTTTTAAACTTGCAACAGCAAACAGTGTCAGCTACAGTCTTAACTTGCCCCTGAAAACTACTCAACTAAGGCCCTCAGCTAACAAATGGTCTGGTCTGTCCAGCCCTGAATAATGGCCACCTCCCATTTCAGAGAGCTAAAAATGTACTGCTATTATAAACAGCAGATGTTATTGCAAGTACACAGAAGTATCCTGTATTTTGTCTTTGTCAGGGAGCTTGTTACATGTTCCGCTGGCTCCTCTTAATCCCCTGATGACCGTTTTAGTTGACTAAACTCTGTGAATGCACGGCTCTGGCTTCGGCTAATGCAGCTGTGCCGGCTGGTTTTCTTATCCGGGGTTTTAGCAGTGATGCAATGTTTCCAGATGTGGAACAAGAGAAAAAAATCTTTATTAGGCCAGCCTGAGGAACAACAGTTATTTTCCTCCTGCAAATATATTTGTCCATGTCTGTAATACTAATGTAGAAGCTCAATGGTGTGTATGCGGCACTCAGTGGTCTTTATATACTTATTTCATCACTATATGTTGAATATGTTACCTATACTCTTTGGGTGAATTTACTGTTTTATACTTAAATATAATTTTACAACACAACTTATAGTATAATTTATTAGTGTAGGCCTATTTAATTTCATTATCTGCCCAGAAACACTAAACTATTCGTGCATTTGGAGTGCCACCAAGTAGCACACTCAGAATCAAGATTGTCAACAGTGGTATTACATAACCATGACATTTGTTTATTTATTACAATAAAGGCAACAAAATGAATGTCCTTCAGTTTGTTTACTGTGAGGTTATCATTCTTGAACTTGAACATTAAGATTTAAAATTACATGTATTTGGCTTAACGTCTGTCCAGCTAAAGGTTAAAATAAGTGCATTTAACCTGGAGGAACAAGATCAAGCTATTATGCTTATCAAGACAATATTTTGGTTTTTTTTGTTTATTGCTCTAGGCTTCTGAGTCAGCTAAACCTATAGCTAGGAAAACCTAGCTATAGAGTGAGTTCAGTGAGGTGGAAGTGGGTGGATAAGCATGTTGGGCAACTCTGTGCTGTGGTGTGCTCTGCCAGATTTCCTCCTCAGATGTGATGGACAGAGACTTCTCATAATCAGCTGCCACCACTGAATTGCAGGGATAAGATAAGGGCACCTCCTGCTGGACTGAAACTAGACTCTAAATATAGTAGAGTAGTAGACAGCCTTAACTGTAAGTATTTACAATGTGTTTAACCACTGGTATTTGTCCAACCCTTTTACATACATCACCCACATCTACAGCCTCAAAAACAACCATACAGTTGAATGAAGCCCTCTCTGACAGCGTCATCAACACTCGCACATAATAAGCTTCACAAACACAAGCTTTTTTGCCGGGCTGCTGTAATAAACTGCATTAGATTATACATGTGTAGAACACATCAAAGCACATGAATCAAGGATTAAATTATATATATCTGTATCTATTCATTTAAATTCCCCAGGGGAAAAACTCAGTTCTGGATATATGCAAGGATAAATAGTAGATTCAAAAATAGTGGGTATTGTCTGCATTATGAATTAATATGTCACCAGTGGACAAATATAGTGTCATTCATAAATTATTTATACAAACTACACTCAAGACAACTTGTTTTCTGAGGAAAATGTTTGTATCCCTGAAGAAATAAATCTTGAAAAAATGCACACGGACATATTCATCATTTAATTTTTATTACTAATCTGTAAATTTTTAATAAAATGTCAAAAGCATTAATATTATAAACAGGTAAGGATCGTTGCTGCATACGTAATGGATTTAACAGATTTAATAAAACAGGAATTACACTGAATGACCTAATGGGTTCTCATCTTTTTTTACAGTGACGACCCCAAAATTTATAGATGGAAGTATAATTTCTCTGCTTTGTCCAAACAATACTGCATTGTGAGTAACAGTTTCTATTACTCTCTTTAGGTGGACACATTCAAGAATGTGTCCACGAAACGCCACTGAAACAAGCTGTATGAGCTCTGCATGATCCTGACTTTGACCTGCTGCACACATGTCCACCAGGTGCAGTTATTCACACCTAGATGGGTGAATAGAGAGCTTGGCAGACACATCTCAGCTATCAAAGAGCCAAAAAGTTCGGTTGTCAATCAGTAGCTAAAAGCAGGAGATGACAAAGCTGATTGGCTGGTCAGATGCTTCTGGTGGACAGGCACTGGTTGACCACCTCCAGCAGTGAGGAGTTCTCCAGAGCTGCTGCCACTCTCTCTTTGTCTGCCAGCTGTTTGTTCACTGCACATACAACAACATATAAAGAATATAAGGAAAAAAGTGCCTAACATTTTGAAAAAAAGTCTTCACATTTAACAATGAGCAGAAATATTATACAGTTATATAATACAATAATATTATTTCAACTGACTAGTCAAGTCAGTTTATGTATCTAGCACAGTTTGAAACAACCAAAGTGCTTTACACAGTAAAAATGGAAGTTAAGTAATAAATAATTATCATTTTGCTGACACTTTTATGCAAAGCGACTTACAATTGCTATATATGTCAGAGGTCACTTGCCTCTGTAGCAACTAGGGGTTAAGTTTCTTGCTTAGAGACACATTGGTGGATGTCAACAGAAACCATGTCTTCCACACTAAAGGCATATGTCTTATCCACTGCTCCATTGCCACCCCTAAAGTACAGTGGGAAATATGATCCAATATCCCATCACGCCTGCTGTCTCTCTGTGATCTTTTTTTTTTTTTTTTTTTTTTACCTGCTTCCTCTGAGGCGTGAGTCCCGGGACTGATGCGGACATCAATCTGAGTATAAACAGAATAACACTAAGCATTTAGACTGGAATTGAACAACAAAACACTAACACACAGAATAAATATGTTGCTCATATTAGCCGACACTCAATCACAACAATCAAAGGAGGTGATGTTAAACGTGCACCAACACTAGCAGACATACTTTGAACCTGTCTGGCAAGGAGCGTAGCAGCTTGACTTTGATTGACAGACCAATCAGTGTTGCCATGCTGCAGTGTGGGATGGTGGGTGTGAACTCAACACTAACATTGCTCTCTGCATCATCAACCTGAGAAAGAGATGGAAAGAGACTTAATAAACATATTGAATGCAATTCACTTGTGCAATTGAACAGTTCAGTAAATGTGTCTTTACTTGTTAAGGACGCTGAGTGTTACTGCAGTGAGATAAATGTTTCAGGACCCTAGCAATAAAGTAAATAATGCTTATTTTGTTTAAGAAGGCTGGAGTATGAAAGTTAGTTTACCTGTTGAATGTCATTTTTTAAAACACATTACTTATTTTAAAAAACAAAGGTCAATAAGGGACAGAAAAATGGAGTTCAAGTCCAACCCTGTTTTAAATTAGGCACTAAATTAAAATATATTGTTAAGTTCATTATAGTGTATCTTGCTTCCCCCCATTCAGCCAGTAGTAAACCTAAAAAACCCCGCACATAATTAAAAGGTGCATACCTTGACTCGGACTTGCTCCACCACATTGAGTTCCTCCAGAGACAGAGGATGCTCTGGGTCGTTGATGGATCTGATCAGATGTAACTTCAGTTAAAGAAATTAAGACAACCTAATGGAAACAATACAAGTCCTGCCTCTATGTACTGCACTCTAATGTTGTCAGTATGTTATTATGTATTATGGGAAACAATATTTCAGTGCTTTTTTGTTAAGAGTTATATTATTGGACATTTACTTTAAATAACCTAAAAGCTAGGCCTGCAACTAACAGTTATTTTATTTGTCCATAAATCTCTTTTTTTTTTTTCCTCAATTAACCGATTAGTTGTTTCGTCAATAAAATGTCCCAAAAAAAATTGTTAACATGTCTGTTAGTGTTTCCCAAAGCCCAAGATGACGTCCTCAAATGTCTTGTTTTGTCCACAACTAACAGATATACTGTCATAGAGGAGTACAGAAACAAGAATACATTCATTTTAAAGAAACTGGAGCTTTCTAAAAAATGAATGCCCATCACAACTTCCTAGAGCCCAATCCTCAAAGTGTTAATTTTGTTTGACAGTCTAAACCTTCAAAAGATGCTCAAATTACAAAGACATGAAATCCAGAACATTTAAAGAGCTGTGACCAGAAAATATTATATACATATATATATATATAACAGTTTTCAATGTTGATTAACTACTGTCTGTCTAATCACTTCAAATTGGTCAAATAAGTTGTGTTTACCAGACATATACAAACATTATTGCTTGAGAGATTTAATAAAATATGGCTGATATAAACTGGCAGTGCTCTCATGTACGTTAACATCTTCTTAAGTGATGCAAATGCTAGTAACGTTAGCATTGTGTCCATTAGCGTCCGTTAAAATGAAGTTTAACAAACGCACAAGAAATCTGTCATGTGTAAAACCACTTTACACAAACAGGATATCGAATATTTCTCTGTCGTCGATGGGATCGTGGACATCTTCATCTTCGTCTTTCGCTGTCAGCACCCTCTCCCCCGACCGCTGGAAAATCACAGGGTTTGCGTTCTCCAGACGGGTTCCCCCAGACATGTTCACACCTTAATTTAGTCCACTTTAAACAATAAATTAATCTCGTAATGTCAACCAGTGGTGCTGCACTACACACTCTGCGCAGCTAAACACCAACAGCACAAACACTTCCTAGAATTACGGAAAGCGATAGAGTCCACACGGGCTCATGAAGAAAGTCTTAAAGGGACAGTCCACCCAACATTTGCATTTTTAATAAATTACGCAAAAAAAAAAGTAAGGAAATTTGTGTTTGGTAAATTATTTCTTTGCCGTTCTTTGTTGCTTCTTGGCAATAAATCCTATACCAGTGGTAAGCCTGTTTGTGTCCCTTTTAAATGGTGCCACATTTGTAAGGATCATGCATTTGTGGGATGAGAGCTGAGTATGTGGGTTGCTCCAAATTTTGCCAAATTTTCTCTGATAATGCCAAAAAGCTATTGTTTTTTTTCACTTTTGTTTGATAGATTAGATGATTGAAGTCTGCAGAAACAAGACATATAGGCATTTAACAATTTATTCATTTAACAAACAAGAGCGTCAGTGGTAGAGGTGTGGGTGTGAAGTAATTTCCACCGTGGCAATATGTTAGGACTCAACAGTCTGGTATGCAGTATTATTGCATCTTTCACCAATGAAGTATTTTTGTGCCATATAGCATAGTAAGAGTGTCTGTCACCTCACTGCACAGCGAGCCGCTAACAGCAGCTTTATGGTCGGAGCAAGCTAGCTGCTGGGTGCTAGTCAACAACATTGCCAACAAACTCCTTTTTGTAGTTTGTCTTTTTCACACGTAGCTATATTATTACCTTCAGGGCACATTCAGTGGGGAGAACAAGTATTTGATACACTGCTGATTTTGCAGGTTTTCCTACTTACAAAGCATATAATTTTTATCATATCACAGGTACACTTCAACTGTGAGAGATGGAATCTTAAACAAAAATCCTGAATCACATTGTATGATTATTAAATAATTAATTTGCATTTTATTGCATGACATAAGTATTTGATACATCAGAAAAGCAGAATAATATTTTGTACAGAAACCCGTACCTGTACCTTGTTTGCAATTACAGAGATCATACGTTTCCTGTAGTTCTCGACCAGGTTTGCACACACTACAGCAGGGATTTTGGCCCACTTTTCCATACAGACCTTCTCCAGATCCTTCAGGTTTTGGGTCTATCGCTGGGCAATACGGACTTTCAGCTCCCTCCAAAGATTTTCTATTGGGTTCAGGTCTGGAGACTGGCTAGGCCACTCCAGGACCTTGAGATGCATCTTACGGAGCCACTGTGGATTTCCGCTCAGCTGAACGTGCCTGACTCCACCTGCAGGTGGATCACTGACGTGAAGCTGGGAAAACATGTCTCTGATTCCACGACCATCAGCACCGGTTCCCCTCAATGCTGCTTTCTTTCCCCGCTTCTCTTCCCCCTGTTCACCAACAACTGCACCTCCAGTCACCAGTCTGTCAAGCTCCTGAAGTTTGCAGATGACACCACCCTCATTGGGCTCATCTCTGGTGGGGATGAGTCCGCCTACAGGTGGGAGATCGACCATCTGGTGACCTGGTGCAGCCAGAACAGTCTGGAGCTCAACGCTCTGAAGACCGTGGAGATGGTCGTGGACTTCAGAAAGAGCACAGTCCCACCCTCCCCCATCATCCTGTGTGACTCCTCGGTCACCACTGTGGACTCCTTCTGCTTACTGGGCACCATCATCTCCCAGGACCTCAAGTGGGAACTGAACATCACCTCCATCATCAAAAAGGCCCAGCAGAGGATGTACTTCTTGCGGCAGCTGAAGAAGTTCAGCCTGCCAAAGACAATGATGGTGCACTTCTACACCGCCATCATTGAGTCCATCCTCACCCCCTCCATCACTATCTGGTACGCTGCTGCCACTGCCAGGGACAAGGGCAGGCTGCAGCGTATCATTCGCTCTGCAGAGAAGGTGATTGGCTGCAATCTTCCTTCTCTTCTGGACCTGTACGCCTAGAGGACTCTGGGGCGAGCAGGGAAGATTGCAGCTGACTCCTCCCACCCCGGACACAAACAGTTTCAGACTCTCCCCTCTGGCAGGAGGCTGCGGTCCATCAGGACCAAAACCTCTCGCCACAAAAACAATTTCTTCCCGTCTGCAGCTAGCCTCATTAACAAGGCCTTGGTCCCCCACTGACACTCCCCCCTTGCAAATGATACAAATGTCTCTGCACATGTAAATACTGTTTCATCTCGTGTCGGGCACAGACCTGGCACGTCGCACATATTTGTTGTTGATTGTTGATCTTTGTTGTTGTATATTTTTACGTTGTCAGTTTATATATTTACATGTACACAATATTCTCTTCCGTTACTTCTGCACGGCACAGACCCAGAATAATGTTCATGTATATATCTGCAACGTTGTTCTTCTATTCCATATTTATATTTCTACATTTATTTATGTTGACTGTATGTTTGTCTACGTGTAGCACCTTATCACCACAGCAAATTCCTCATATGTGTAAAACACTACTTGGCAATAAAGCCTCCTTCTGATTCTGATTCTTAGTTGCCCTGGCTGTGTGTTTCAGGTTATTGTCATGCTGGAAGACCCAGTCACGACCCATCTTCAATGCTCTTACTGAGGGAAGGAAGTTGTTGACCAAGATCTCGCGATACATGACCCCATCCATCCTCCCCTCAATACAGTGTAGTTGTCCTGTCCCCTTTGCAGAAAAGCATCCCCAAAGAATGATGTTTCCACCTCCATGCTTCACGGTTGGGATGGTGTTCTTGGGGTTGTACTCATCCTTCTTCTTCCTCCAAACACGGCGAGAGGAGTTTAGACCATAAAGCTCTATTTTTGTCTCATCAGACCACATGACCTTCTCCCATTCCTCCTCTGGATCATCCAGATGGTCACTGGCAAACTTCAGACGGGCCTGGACGCTGCAGGATTTTAATCCATGATGCCGTAGTGTGTTACTAATGGTTTTCTTTGAGACTGTGGTCCCAGCTCTCTTTAGGTCATTGACCAGGTCCTGCCGTGTCCTGGGCTGATCCCTCACCTTCCTCATGATCATTGATGCTCCACGAGGTGAGATCTTTCATGGAGCCCCAGACTGAGGGCGATAGAGATCATCTTGAACTTCTTCCATTTTCTAATAATTGCGCCAACGGTTGTTGCCTTCTCACCTTCTCACTCTGCTTGCCTATTGTCCTGCAGCCCATCCCAGCCTTGTGCAGGTCTACAATTTTATCCCTGATGTCCTTACACAGCTCTCTGGTCTTGGACATTGTGGAGAGGTTGGAGTCTGTTTGATTGAGTGTGTGGACAGGTGTCTTTTATACAGGTAACAAGTTCTAACAGGTGCAGTTAATACAGGTAATGAGTGGAGAACAGGAGGGCTTCTTAAAGAAGAACTAACAGGTCTGTGAGAGCCGGAATTCTTAGTGGTTGGTAGGAGATCAAATACTTATGTCATACAATAAAATGCAAATTAATTATTTATGTGATTTTCTGGATTTTTGTTTTAGATTCCGTCTCTCACAGTTGAAGTGTACCTATGATAAAAATTACAGACCTCTACATGCTTTGCAAGTAGGAAAACCTGCAAAATCAGCAGTGCATCAAATACTTGTTCTCCCCACTGTAAATCAAGTCAATTTACATACGCAGCAACACGTGCGCGCCACGGTGTGGAGCCGAATGGCTGTCCGCAGCTAACCACTGCGCTGTGGTAACATAAGTAAATTTCAACAGAAAGCAACATGAAAAACAGCTGCAGGCATCCGACACACTACACTCGTTAGTTAGTGAGCTTCAAATGAGGCTTACTGTTCAGTTTCTCTCGACTGTCCCTCAGGATTACAATGTTAGTCCAACATCGCCGAGCCTGCTAGCCACATTAGCTGCGCAATATGCTAACGCCAAGTTAGCTAATCTTTAAAATAAACAGTAAAACACCACAATACATGGCAACACTTAAAGCTTCCAAGTTTGAAGTCCTTGAACCGCTACAGAGCTCGTTGCGGTTGTGGAACTTTTGAAGGACTTATTAAATTAACAAACCCTCAAGTGTAAAGTATGAACATTGCGGTTGTTGCGGTGATTGCCATCCTCCGTGGTAGGCTTGACCAATAGCGCGGTATTTCAATTTTGCGGTCATCGCGACAGCCATTGTCAGTATGACATAATCATACACAGCCACAACAGCCTGGCAGCTCCTCCTCATGCTGGTCACATGACATCCCATTCTTTAACTGGCATTTGTCGCAAGTATAGAAATAAGAAATAATTATATTATTTCTACCAAAATAATTTGGTAGAAATAATCTACCATACACAAATGTCCTTATTTTGTGTGTAGTTTAGAACCAGGTGAATTACTATGAGAAATACTGTCCTTATATATATAGTATTTTTGTGGCTTTTTGTGTCTGTGCTGTTTGTGTCTGCTTTTGAAATTCCTTTTACAACTTTGTTTTCAAATGTGTATGTGCGTTATATTGTTATCGTATGCCTTTAAAATGTCCCTGTAAGGAGTATTGTGTGTTTTTTAATGGATAACATACCAATTAAGCTTAGAATATCATGACAGAGTCATGTCGTGCTGTCGGGTTTCCTTTCTACAAAGACCGATCAGATGAAACTCTATGTACACAAATGCTGTGTGTGTCTGTACTGTTTTCCTGTTTTATCAGTTATCTTTAAAATGTGCTGTCTTGTTAGAAGTAATGTGTGGTTTGGGTTGAAATGTCCCTTTACTGGCAAATTGTGACACCCCATTTGTTCTGCAGATGGCAGTAACTGCCCATTTTAGCCCTCACCAGCAACAACCACTTTAGGTTTATCAAGTCTAACCTGCAATATACTAAAAATATACTGATGATTGCCAAAATTAGCTCCCAGATGCCATAAGTTCTGGTGCAAAATCATCTTTCTACTCACATGTAAAAGGACAGGCTGTGATTTATTTAGCTGCCTCAACATAATGGCAGTTTGTGATGAAAATGTTCAGTAACCTGGAATAACTAGTTTAAAGCTTGCAAGCAGAAAATTATGATTACTGTATGTGCCGTTTATTTATTCATTTAGCCATTCAGTAGTTTGTTTACATTATGCACACTAGCTACAATCAGA